TTATTTACAGCAGATGGTTCAAATCTGGTCTCTGTGTCCTGTTATTTACACAGGATGCTCGCTGCACAAGTCTCCCGCTGCAATACGACACATACTTTTCGTCAGTTACAGAGGGTGTTACGTGCTGGAGGCGTGACTCATTGTGAATTAAACGATGCGGACCACCTTTGCTTGAGGAAAACTTTGATTCGCAGCAGTACTTGGATGAAACGATCGAGGGTCTTTGTTTGGATTCCGCGAACCGTGGGGGGCAAGCATAAGTCCGGTGTCAACGAAACGCGGCTGTTCACACGCTACACACACACACATATATATATATACATACATATGTATACACGTATATACTGTATACTATATGCAATATGCTAAGTATACTTTATGCTATACGCTATATGCTATATACTATAAGCAATATTCTACATGCTATATACTATATACACTATATGCTATATGCTATATGCTAAATGCTGTATACTATATACGTCATAAAATATGCTGTATGCTGAATGCTGTACACTATATACCATGTAACATATGCTATAGTTTGTAGACGATAAACGATATACTATATACTGCATACTATCTGCTGCCTAAAACCTACTATTATCTGACTATCTAATATCTACTATCTGCTATGTACGATTTATAAGCAAGGAAGCGGCCTTATCGAAACAATGTTGGAAGGCCAGCTGCCTGTGGCAGTCGTGGGTGCGTGTAGGGCTCACGGTTGGCGAAATCGAGAAGGCTTGCAGAGGGCAAAACAACGTGATGAGTCCGGTGAGCGCCTGACACCTCTAATTCAGTGTTGCAAGAAACGCCAAACCCCCGAAACACGAAGTGCAAAGAGCCTCAGCCAAGTGATGGATGAATATTCGATTAGACATATCCAAATCTCGAAACTTACCTCCTTTGCCGCGATGTTGTGAAACTAGGTAGCCAATAGGTAAGGACCGAGCTACGGGTGTTGGGGGTCGACAGTGAAATCTCAATTTCCGGCCTTTTTGCGTCATGCCCGCAGGATCGATTCATCCTCGACCTCGGTGCTGGTTGTGGGCTTGCAGGCCTGGCAAACCTCCCCCTTCCCCCCTCCGGTTCGCTCCCCGTGGTTAAGCGTGTGGTGGTCCGTATCGTCGTCGTAGTGTTATAGAGACAGGAACGCAGTCATGTTGGCGGTAGCGGTAGCAGTAGGTAGTATCAATAGGAACATTGTGGGCGGTCAAACAATTGCTACATCACATCGATGATGTCTACATTTGCTTGTTCATTCCGCGGTTTGGGTTTTGCAATTACGGGGGAGTCTAAATTTGAATCGAAGTCAACAATTGGCTGTGCGATATCGCTTGCATGCACAGATAGAGGCGAGGGTGGCTCTTGTCCACCTGGCAAGGACTTGCTGCCGCTGCACTGGGTGCCAGGCGCGTGTTGCTCACAGATTGCGATGGGGAAACAGCGCCATGTCTAGAACGGGTGTTGTCAAATTTGATGCCAGTGCCTGTAGATTGTAGACCTTGATGAGCCTTGATGGGGCCAGTCGTGTTTTTATTTTTGTTGGGGCGAGGTATCCACAGGTATTCTAAATGGCATGGCTGCCGAGTTGTCAGGTATGCAATATCCACCACAACATTCAGGCCAACAGACATCTATGGGGACCTGAGGGAGGAAACTGCGAAGTTCAAGCGGAAGCGCTTGACTGGAAACGCGTTAGCGAAGACTATGCCTTGCAGGCAAGTGTCCTCTGTTTCAGCTCCTTGATTCTCCAGGTTCAAAAAGGCCCTGTCGGCAGGAGCGAGCTGATGTGGTCATCAGCTCTGATACGGTCTATGGGCACTTTGGCGATGACTTGGCCTGCTGCTTGTCCTGACACGTCTTCGATCGATCATCGTGTGACCGCTTTCATGCTAGTGACCTAGTGGCCCCCTCTTGCGTTTCTGCATGTCATCGTTTATGCTTAAGCCGTGCAGTCCTTCATGAAGTGTGGAGCCACTGCACTTCAAACCAACGCGACACCGCTTCAACTCCGTGTCCAGGGTCTCGAATCGAACGTCCACTGAGGTTGCGCGCTGAATCTTCTCTCGAGTACTGGCTCCATGATTTTGGTCGCCCCCAAGGAATCCGATCTTTGACGTCCCGGCATGATCAGTCATGTTTCCAGAAGGGATCCCATCCAAAAGTGATTCGCAGGATCGGCAGACTGGCGTCCCGGCATTTCTGGAGCGCATGAAGTCTGCAGGCTACGTGTATGTGGAGAGTTGGGTGCAGGATGAACACGGAGAAGATTTCCATCTCTTCGATCTGAAGCGACGAGAATCGACTGCGCCCAGCTGATGTGGAGGGATGGGTGTGCACGGCGCACCACGCACTCACGCATCTCGAGATTGAGCAGAGCGGCATCGACTTCACGCTGGATCACGTTGACAACTTCCGCTTTCTGCAGTCCCGCACCCTGTCGGTTCCGTCGCACTTTCCGCAGCACCAGATCGAGGTGAGGAAGGTTGGTTCAGTCTGTTAGCGCCTGTCGGACGCAAGCAAACCGCGGCATAGAATCACAGTTGGCGGTCTTGGTCTGACATCTTGCATAGCTCAGGGCGTGACTTCTAAAAGACAGGAGTTGTGCAAGAGAGTAGTTGAAAGCATGGGTCTTGTGGCGGCAGCTGATTTGGCTCGGACCCCTGGCCGGACGTTGGCTTCGCCAACCGAGTCCTTGGAGCCATGGGGAATGCCTGCGTTTGCCCTGACACAGCAGATGAGTTATTCCCTGCAGAGAGCTCGGCCTCAAAGGACCTTGCCAAAGCAGAGCTCGTCGATGTAGTCGGGGACACGGCGGACAAGGGAGAGGCAGTAGACGAAGATCTGGAAACTGCCGCAGGATCAGAGTTTAGCTGCGAGCGCTTATCCAAATCGTTGTCCTCCGCTTCACCGCTAAGTCTTGAGACCTCTACTCCGGACTTCAGCGGCAAATGGATCTGCTGCAGAGTGGAGGGCGAGTCTTGTCTGCAACCTTTGGTAAGCCTCCAAGATCACCTACAGTAGCAGTCCAAGCTGTAGGAGCATTGCACGATTGACACCCCAGAAGCACCGTGGTGGAAAGACGACTCCAAATGGTTGGAGGGGGAAACACGAGATGCAGGCATAATGTTCAGGCGCTGTGGCTGGGCACGATATCGGGAGCAGGACATGCCCTGGACTGTGGCGGGAAGTTGCTAAACGACATGCGCACCCTACAAATGCACACAGCACCATGGCATGCGCCAAATTGAAGGGATCTCCAGAGTACGTCAAGAAGTCCTTAAGAGGCGAAGAGCGTGGCCCTGCTGTTCGTAGGACTGTAGGGATCTTGAGCGGCTTGAATGAAGTGAACAGCGAGCGCGGGAGCGCCAAATTTTGGAATTTGGCACGGGTGGCTGCAGCGGGTCGCAGTTGAAAATGTGCACGGCCCCACACTTGGAGCTGCTCAACTTAAACGCTGGGCGTGCCGGCGAGACTTCTTAATCAGGTATATTATAGAGTTTTCCCTGCTGACTTTGCGTCCAAGTACACTTCCTGTTGTGCTTGTTCGGAAGAGGCTACAATTAGGAGATTGTTAGGAGGGCAGCCGTAGAGGACTGGGATGCATACCTTCGGGAGCGAGGGACCTCTTGGATGATGCGCAAGCTGGCTGCCAGTGTCGGGTATGGTGTTGGAAAGCACACCCAAACCATCGTGCACAATTCCGACGAACTGGAAGTCGTCAACCTCGTCGTGTCGACCGGTGCGCCCAAGGAAGAGAGGTGCGTCATCAAAGCAGATGGCGAAGAGCAGGAAGTTTTGGATCCCGACGGGCTACTCTTGAGACAGAAGACCCGTTGGGTTGAGAATGTACTTGTCTCCGAGCAATTTCAGTCCGGTGCACATGCGTCCGCCGTTCCGGTGATTCTCAAGCGCTTCATGCAAGGTCATGAAATGTGCACAGAAAGGACGACTGCCAAGGGGGTGGTGGTCCGGCGCTTTTACAGCCGCGCTTGATGTCAGCGGTCGGTCCCTGCGCGTTGCCCAAGGCAAGGCTACCAGTCATTCACCAGTTCATGGTCTGACAGATGCTGCAGTCTATGCAGTCCTTTATTCTGCATGCTCCCTCGCAGCCTTTTGAATATGCTGGACACTCCGCAGTATGTGTGTGCATGTTTTCCGGCCTTGAGACTAGGCCGCCGGCAAACAAGCTCGTAGAGCTTATTGCTGTGATCTTGAGTTCTTTGTGACATGCAAGTTGCTTGTCAGTCCCGTCAGAGTACCAGTTCAAGTCGCAGTTGTACATTTTATTGTTTTGTGCGCGTGGCTGGGCAGAACAGGACGGCACGGAAGGACCAAAAGACGGTTTGGATTCTAGCATGTGGTATTGGAGGCAGGAAGTAACTCATGAAGTATGCTGCCTTTCATGTTGCCAACCTCCTGACTAAAACCGGCAGGCTTTTGCCGACGCAGGACAGAACTGAACAACAAGACTTTTTCGCAGGTGTGGCTAGCCAACTCCGCTGATTGTTCGGAATCGCACTGCTTTTCACCTCCGGGATGATTCTGCACAGCGCCGAGCGTGTGTCAAACAATGAACGTGCAGAGCCGTTGCTGTTGATACCTACATTCATCGATTTGATGCAAAGCCTTCGGCTCCTAATTGGGGCTGAGGGTTTACCTCTGCATGTATTTGTCAGGTATGTGGCATCCGACAAATATGAGGACATTTTTGGGAGGTAAGGTCTAACCACTTCAACTGCTACCTGCATCTTCGCCAGAAATACATACACCATGAAAGGGGTAGAAGATGTAGAAGATCACACATCGACAGCAAATCTAGTGCGATAGTCAATCGCCTATCCTACTTCCAATGGAGACTCAGTGTCATATCCCCTGAGTGGATTTGCGTGTCCATCTCGCTTGTGGGTGCTCCAAGTGCTGGGTTTGGGTCTGCCATCGTCGTACATATGTTGGCAAACAGCTTCGTCCCTTCTCGGCTCGCTATTCACCGCATGCGGCTCAAAAGAGCAGGCTTCTGTCAAGTTTTGCCCCGACTCATCCTGGAGACGCGCTTAAGTGGACATGGCGGCGAAGCTGCTCCGGCCTTTGCATCTCATCCCGAAGTCAGCTGGAATCCAGCACACCGAGGTCGGCGATGCCTTTCCTTACGGACAAGAACAACCCCATCGGCCCTGGCCTTGGACATCTTTGGACAGTTTCAAGCTCGGCTGCGTGTTTTTGTGTTTCGGGGTGTTCTCAGCTGGAAGGCTACTGCGTGCAGGGTGCTATCGAGTCGGTGGCCTCGGTGCAACTGCTGTCTATTTTCATTCATGTGATGGTGTGGCCATACGTGGGCTGCCTCTAACTTCAGCAGCTGCGAAAAGGTTTGGTATGGACTCTCGACGACTCATCCAGCGTTGCACCAAACCTGATGCAAAGGAGCGATGCGAGCATTTCTGCACGGGACAGGACTTCTAGTGATTGTAGTGTTTCTTGTCCACTTGGGCAGGAGTTCAAGAAGATTGCGGTTGCCTGCGCAATTGGATTCTCCATCATGGGATTCATCGGCCATGGGCTTGGCTGGACAGTTCGCGACAAACGAAAGTCACCTTCTGGGCACAAGAATGACACAGTTCGCTTTGTTTGGTCGCCATTGAAATTCTGCTCTGTGCCCAAGCTTGGTTACTGTCGGAACCCTGTAAGGCTTGCAGGGAAGGACGGACGGACGCCTGAAGGGAAGCAAGCAGGAACGTGACACACAATAAAGACAGACGACATTTCGCTGTGTTTGTAGAAAGTGCTACTACTGCATTGCCTTTGTCATCTCTACGACGTTGCGGGTGTAGCCACAGCAGGCTTTTTGGCTTGTATGTTGTATGTCGTTCTTCTTGGCTTGCATGTCTTTGAGGCCTCTTAGCTTTGCGCTTTCCTGTTTTCATGGCTTTGCGGCTTGCTGGTTTGGTCTTGTCTTCGTGGCTCCTTGCCTTGCAGCCTTTCTCTCTTCCCAGCGCATGGCCTTGCGAATGCTTCGTAGATGTTTATCCTATTCTCAATAACGTCACTGTGATTGTGCTCTCATGGTCCAAAGTTACTTGAAGAACGCAGCAACGACATTTTCGCAGCAACAGCATCTTCGCGGGTTATCGGACACCCAATTCTGGCTTCAGTCTCTCCGAGCCCTTCTAAAGTTGGAGAACGTCTTGTAATGATATTGTGGAAAGATCGAAACCCCAGACGCTGTAATGAAGGGACATGAAGAGACCCTCAACTCAGTTTAAAAACTGTAATGACCCTTGTGCGGGCGATCCCAGGGCCTAACAAAGCAAAAGGAGTGGATACCATCAGCACACGCCGCAAAAAATACACAAGACCTAATGTCATTGCCGCCACATGCCTCAAACCCCACAGGTCCTGTCTAGCTCTTTCCATTATTCCGGTCGGAACCAATCTGTGAAATTTCGGCACATCTACGCCGCTCAAGGCGCGAAATCTGATCTCCTTTGCATGAAAGAATTCCAGACCGACCGATGCTTCGCAAGCCCAAGCCCAGCGCGCTTTACCAGCCAACTCTACCAAGCTACTCAGGCTACACTGTGAAGCTGGTTTTCATCCCGATCAACAACATCATTGCCTGCGTCCCAGACAGAAAGGGTTGGCAGCGATTTCGCTTTGAAAGCTTGGCTCGCATACTGAATTGGACTTGCCAGGTGGGCGGCAGCTAAAATTGCTGGAGATGTGTGCCGCAGCTCAGTCTTAGGCAGTTTTCAGAATCGTTCCTGTAAGTCATGAGACGTGGTGTCTTTGGCATAGAAATGGTGAAGCTCGGAAAGTCAGGAAGCAGCTGTTGGTGAGCTCTAAGGTGCAGTCCCACAGCCAGGGTGACGAAGAGAGTATCAGTTCTGAGACTGCTGGTTTTCTTGCGCCCCACAAGGCTGCAGCCAGTTGCCTTCGTGTACACTGTGTAGCTGCGAGCACTTCCGAAAGAACAAAGACCAAAGACGTAGAACTCCTAAGAGCCGCTCTGTCGTTGAAGAGGTAGGAAAGACCAAAGCAGAGCAGCTGCTGTTACCGAGCAGAATGGCTGCAGAGCATCATTATGCTTCTGACTAGTGCTGGCTGCATTCTTGGCAGGAGAGACGGTGGATCCAAGCTTGCAATAGCAAGTTCTCAGTGTGCAGACATGCAGAAGATATTCTGGCATTCCAATCAGCATGCTGGAAGATCTGGGACTAAACAACTGTGATTGGCCGTTCCTGTAAGCTGCTGTCTGCCGTAGGCCCTTTTAAGAGGCCTCAGCAACCTTGAGGCGCGCATGCGCTGGACAAAGGCACTTGGCAAGACAACTCGAACAAGTCTTTCCGCTTGCACTGTGTTGTCCTGTCATCATGCTTTAGTTGCTAAAGGCGGCAACAATGACTTCAACCATCTATCGCCGAAACTCAACTGGCGTGAGTATTATGTGTCACCGACTAAACGATGACATGAAGTTGAGTAGTGTTTAGCGAAGCCAGATTGCCAGAGACTATGACTATATGAAACGACGAATACTGAATCAGCTTAGACGGAAACGGACGCAATGATTCAGAACAGATTGGTGAAAGACTGTAAGTACGATGATCATTTCATCTTTGAAAGGACCTCTGGAAAGACATGACATGGAATGAAGTGGACAAACTGACAGGAGATGAAGAATTGTGAAAATATGTGAAGTTATACTAAATGAAGCGACGTTAGATAACAAGGCATGCGATGAAAGAGGACACGAATGAAATTGCCACCCCGCGTAGGGGGTGGGGGGGAAATTACACTCGTCCACGTCACTTGCGCCACCCGAGCCACTCGCCCACGTGTGCCACTCGCGCACTCGCGCCACAGCTAGGCAACCGGAAGGAGTGGAACAGGTAAGGCACAGGGGGAGTGGAGCGAGTGGAACGATTGAAACGTTGATTCATCGGCGGCCCCAGATCAGTGCGACTGCACAAGGGAGGGGGGTGAGGAATTGCAGTCGTCGCGTCACTCGTGCCACTCGCACCACTCGAGCCGCTCCCGCTGCTTGCCACTTGCGCTGTAGACTGTTAACGAAAGGAATGAGTGGAGCAGGTAACGTACAGGGCGAGTGGAACGAGTGGAACGACTGGAACAGCGGAACAAGCGCAACGGTCGGAGCGAGTGGAACGAGTGGGATGAGTGGAACGAGTGGAACGGTCGGAGCGAGTGGAACGAGTGGAACACAGGGATTAGTGCCCCCGCACGCCGACACTCTCTAGGCGTTTGCAATGAGCAAACGGCCGAACTTGTTCAATCTATTTTTTCAATGAGTGATTCGCATGAGCTGAAATATCCGAAAGAGCTGGGATGGAAAAACGATCGGATGGCATGAATGAGAGGACTGAGCTGTAATGTAAGTAAGGATTGAACGAAGTGAACGAGTGAATAGACATGAGTGTAGTGAGGTCAAATTAAATTGGAAGGGCAGAGAACGAACACGGCAGGGCAGAGAACGAATTTGTGGATTTATGAATGCATGTGCGATTAGCGATTGATTCAGTTGATTTTTAACAGAACAGAACATCAACTGAATACATGCACCAATGTATTAATGAATTGTTGACCTCTTGTTCTTGCTATCCTGGTGGCTGTGGCTACAGTTGTTGCTGCTGCTTCAGTCTTCGTGGTGGCTGCGAGTCATGGTGGTTCTGGTGTTGGTCTGCTGCTGCTACGGATGCTACGAGGGCTGACGCGGCTGCTACTAAGACTACGGCCGCATGGAGGCGGTGGAGAGGCTTGAATCTTGTTTCCATCAACTATGCAGATGTGAAACTGAAACCATGCCGATAACGCTTCACGTAGAATGAGAGTTGAGAGCCTGCGGCTGAGCCTGCGTACGAGCCTCTGCCAGCCTGCGACCTAAGCCTTTCATGGTGGATTTTCTGTCTCCAGGAGCCCCCATCATGACAGCACAGCATGGTACGACACAACTGGGCAGACTTGAAGAGACTGCGGGGGTTTATTGATGACAGTTGCGAAGACGATGCAACGTAATCTGCGAAGTAGTGCTGCCGTGGCAGCCATTGAGAACGGCTGCTCTGCATCCTATTTTTGTTCTTCAGAATTCCAGTGTGGATGACAATACGAACGCCGATGGCAACGTAGACCTTCGCCGCGCACGGCAGCATCTTGGCGGAGGTCCAAGACGTTCTGTGACAACACCGAACTGTGCCATGCTGGGATTGTACATGCGAGCAGGATGGATCCGGGTGCCGGAAGGTTCTGGCCGCACGTGCCAGGTTGTGATGCCAGCTTGGGTTGTCGAGCAGTTTCGTGCAGCCCGACGCATTGTGTAGGCTATGAGTCGGATGACGATAATGGCCATGAAGACTCCGAGGACGGTGTGACTTTGGTGTGCGTGCGGATCGTAGCAGTTTTCATGCAGGATTGTGTTCCGTTCGCACATGTTCGCACCAGTGGAGTCTTTACTCTCTATCCAGCGCCTTGAACCAGAACACTTGGCATGTAAACAATCCCGCCTGGCAGCATCGCCTTAGCCGGCCTTTAAGCGGCAGCAACATCACAGAGTCCAGTTTGGAAAGTATGGTGAGATAATATCTTGGTCATTCTTTGTGTGATTGCAGCGAACAATCGGACGGACTGCAAGCCATTCTGTGTTCAAACAGGGCCTGCCCCCCTTTTCCACGCTTGTCACCAGGCCCATATCGCTGCTCAAGCTCGGGAAAGTCTTCGCGAAGTTGCCGGAGCCTTGGAGTCAGATCGGAGAATCGAAGGCAGCCGACCGATTCATGCCTTACTTAGTCTGTTCCGTCATCGGACCAGCTTTGAATGGGAACGTCGAAGTCTCCCATGATAACCTCACATGTTATTATTAAGATTTGGGCACGGACCTTGAGCCAAGGAAGCAGGCTGAAATGCTCAGACATCTCATAGCAATTTCCTAAAAATAGAACTAGCAGGTCAAACACTTGGGTTCCGAGTGGGAGGACCAGACTGGTTTCCTTTGTGCCGCTTTGCGTCTTAGCTGCGGTCTTTGCAGGAGCTGGGAGTCCTCCACTTCAAAGCGCCGCAGGCGAAGCTCAAGAAGGTCCCGCGCCAGCGCATGCCAGCGCATGCCAGCGCCAGCTCTCTTCCAGCTTTGACCCTGGCCCCCGACAAGAGGAGTCCATCAATAAAATCTGTGGGGGTCCCGGAGTCCTGGAAGATCTCTGCACGCTATGCACGGCGGCTGCCAGACCTGAGGCTCCTCCTTGCTTACGCCATCCTTCCGAATTGAGCACACGGAGGTGCGCTTCTTCCGTGCAATGTTCGACAGGGTCTCCTTCTGCAGGCTCCTGTCGTTAGAGATACCCTCCTGACCAACGGCATGACGCAGACAACTGGCCGGGACTGACCTGGGCAGCATGAAGCTGAACCGGCGGGACGGATGCGGTCGCGTCGCGAGGACTGGCTCGTCCAATGGTCCGGCCCGGGCCTCCGCGACTCTGCCTACCAGGTCGCAGAGCCGAGTCGACAAGCGAGTCGAGGAGAGTCGACCGGCATCAGAATCTGCCAGGACATGAACGAATTCCAGCGCGTCAACCATTTTCCTGGGCCTGGGCCACAAAGGAACGCTGGATTGATGCGGAACCGGCATAGACCAGACTCTGCCATAGACCTTTGATTCCTCGCCGTCTGAGTCCCTTTCGTCCCTTTCGTGCATCTTCTCCTGTTGCGGGCTTTGGGACGTTGTGCTTTTTGGAACCTCGCACGGCCAGTTGCTCGATGGTCCAGGCCCAGGCTGAAGGGCGATCTACAGAATCTATCGCGGACAGGGAAAGAACAAGCTTGTTGTTCCTTTCAGAAACAACATGAAACAACACCCAGGTCCACCGAGCTGACTCGCAAGGACCGCTTGTGGATGAATTTTAGAGACATGGTGGGAACCCCAGAAAGCTGGAGCTGCTTCACCTTGGCTGGATCTTGTCGAGATTGCTGCAAGATGCTCTGTGATGTATCAGGCACAAACATTCGGTGATGCTTTCGACTTCGTACCGGAGACTTTTGCTGTGACCCCAGTCATGCAAGCTCTTGAGACGGCTATGATCGTACAGGCACATGAGGAGGCTCTCGGTAGCAGGATATCAGAGGTCGGGGGAACCATATCTCTTGTTGCAAAGTACCGGATTCCCATGTATTGGCATCACCACAGACCAAGTTGAAAATCTTTGTAATATTTTTGAAGCCGGGTGGACGCACGGAGGCTGCAGTTTTTTCTTTCCAGATGACATAGTTCAAAGACAGGTCGATTCGCCCGCCACAGTCCGCACTTGTTGTCTGTAGTGCGGCATGCTGCTCTAATGAAGCGATTTGCATCTCGACTTGAAGCACCTAAACGGAGCGGAAGGGGCGTGCTTACATCTTCTGTGAATAACGCTGGTTCCGCAGTGATTTACCTGACAAAACCTTTTTTCCAGAAACCAGTCACCTGCAGCTTGTGAAATCAACTCAACAGCCCAGCCTTTGTGAAAATCAGGTGCTTCCTGGCCAGATGCAGGCTGGATCGCCGCACTCAAAGCAGCGGCAAGCCCAAGTTCCTTTGCACAGGAGTTCTTGGACTGCTACCAAAAGAAGGGCGGTCTGTGGATCGTGCTTTGCCGAGCTGTAACGGTCGGATCTGGCGTGGTCCCAGTCCTTCGTTGGAGCCACATGAGCCACTCTGCAAGAAATGAGGTGAAGCCGAATGCATCTTCCAGAGGTCGTGGAATCTTTGTCTTGCGTGATGCCACTGCCTCTGGAATCTGCTTTCTTGGTTACCGTCTCCATTCGTGTCATTCCCAAGGTGGCAGATCTCCCAGTGGATGAGATGCTCTGCCCTCGGCCGGGCAGGGGTCTAGAGGGACACTCTGGTTTTGCCGTGCGGGGTTTAGGGTTAGAAGACGAAGAATAACATGCTTCAAGAAAGGCCTTACGGTTTTCCGCAACCTGGACCTTCCAGCAAGTAAGCTGCTGTAAAGTTGCCGGAACCCGTCTCGAGCCGTAGACCGGTCTGGTCGCTGCGCACCCATTCGCTCAAGCTGCTTTAGGCACACGGAGCGACCGAGTTGCCTCGACACTCTGCAGGTGTTTGCCAAGTGTTTTGCAGCACCCGGTAAGCGACAGCAGCGTGCAGGTCAGGGCGTCTTGCAATCGCCGCCATGGAAATAGCTGCAAAAACACAAAAAATCGCTGCCGCGGGGCAGCGAAGTCTGTGGATGCGCCAGCGCCACAAGCGAAGGCGGCCTTGATTCTCGAGAGCAAGTCTGCCATGTTGGCATGCACAAGATTTCTTCACTTGTAGCCATCGTAGTGCTGCCAGGCTGCGTATTTGGGCACCTGTTGCGCTAGTCCTGGGCTTTGCCGGCATTGGCCACATCGCGGTGGCGCTGTCCTTTCTCGGAAACCCCTTCCGAAGCCCAGGATTGGGGTTTGGCGCAGTTTAAGTTTAGGTCGTCTGACAATGCTAGCTGCCGGTGTTTGGCCTCGAAGATGAATGCATGTGCGTGTCTTGTTTGAGATCATCCCTTTGAACTGAATCAAACAGGCTGCTGGGTGAAATGCGCCGTTGGGTTGAGCCTTTCCGGAAAGGAGGTGTGCCTGCGAAGCTGGCATGTCCCGAACTGTCATACCATGGTCTTCCACCTTTTTACCAAGACACCATTCGCCGTTCGCCGCCCCCTTTTAGAACTTTTGGTGTCATGTGGAACATTAGACTCGCCTGCCAACAGGCTGGTACAAGAACGGAGTAGGAGGAACCTAACCAAAACCCTGGCCCGGCGACCGGACCCTGCTAGCCCTCAGGCCTCCAATAGACTCGGGCTTCGGCAGATTGCCTGTCAGGCTCGCCGTCTGCGCCCACACCGGTGGCCAAGGACGATCCAGGCAGTGTCCAGGAGTGCTTTGGTTGAAACAGACGACCCAGACATAACCAGACCTTTCCGTTTGCAACTCCCATGCCACAAGGGCCGGTCGGTAGATCAGCCAAGCCGTCAGCTTCAGGTTTGCATCAGCAGATCGGCAAGAACTTCTAGCCGAGATGGAGAGGCACAGGGGTCTCTGAAGTCCATTTGTTTTGTTGTCTGCTTTTGACTACTGCGATGAGGCAGTGGGCCGTTCTGCACGACCGTCTGCCTTTTTGCTGCACAAGCCATCCGATTATGGATAAGCTTCATGGACGTCTTCGGCAGCAGAATGTCGTGCTGAAAATTTGCACGCTTGCAGGCAGGCTGGCATTTACCCTGCCGTCATCAACGATCCGTATTTCACCATAGACATTCAAGGTGCCTCATGGCCACATGCCATACGGGATCTTATCTTGCACGTCGCCAGGGCTTCTCCGTAGATATCTCGTGGCCGCGCAGTTCGACGCCAAGGAAGCTATCGTGCGGTTGGAGGTGATTGGGATCTGCCGAAGCAGACCGTCTCCTTTCTTGCCTGTCACTGCGGACCTCGCAAGGCCACTGCCATTTGGCGTCGCGATTGGAACGTCCTTGACTACTACAGGTAGGGCAAGCCGTGATCCGGTGTGGATTTGTCAAGCAGGGCCCCGTTGCTTAAACTGGGCAGCCCGAATTCCTTGTCCAGGACAGGTGCTGCTGCAGAGCTTTTCTCCGAAAGCACAAACCCTGGTGCAGCCCCTTGTCCTGGTCGTTATTTGAATGCTTGGAATTTAATTTCGGCGGTCCTGTCGCCGCAGCATGCCGCAGCAATCAGCTAGGATCGCTTTCTCAAAAAATGTGGTGACAATACAGGGCTCTTGTGTGGTGGCCCTTTTCGACTACACTTGGCGTTTGTCGTGCTTTCTGCGGTGTTGTTGATGCAGCGTCCTTCGCAGACGCCGACTTCTTTGTAAAACATTTTGGCACTCCCGAACATGATGAATCGCGCTACCACCGCAGTGCCAGTGCGATTTTGAGATGTTTTTGGATGGGAATCGTCTTGGACGTCTAGTAGGGCCACACTATGGTGCCTTCTCGCAATCCTTCTATTCTAAGGGGTTCAGGACTGGCGAAATGAGAAACTGTGATCCTGCAGCAGCACTGGGGACATTTGGGCAGCGTCTCGTCTTTTCGCCTTCAACAATCGCGCTCCCGCCGCAATTTCACGCACCCTGGATGGTTCTTGGGCACGTGAGACTGGAACTCTCAGAGTTTTTTCCAGTGTTTTCAGTGTCAACGCTGGCGTGCAAAATACAACCGCTAGCGCGAGAGCCGCCTGGGGGACGGCTCGGGAACCGCTATGCTTGTCTTCCTTCTCAGGAGATGTATTTTGCAGACTCCCTGATGGAGGACCGTGGACCTTGTGGCTCACAGAATGTAGCAGAGTGTGGTTAACCTTCTCTACCTGCAAGGCGTGGAGTTCTAGTTGGATGTCTAAGCGGGTCAGGACCGGGACGGCCGCCCGTACGCCGCTGGTCGCCTGCGCTTCGCCAACGCGGAGAACATGTGGCCTGCTTGAATTTCGAACCTGTGTTCAGTGAGATCTGAGCTTTTCTGAGGCATCCGTGGCATCACCTGCGAGCAGGAGTCTTCGTTTTCGAGCTTATGGCGGCCAAGGCTCCTTGAGCTGAGCTGTCCAGGGCAGACACTGCAATCTTGACCCTACGTTCGGTTTCCGCTGCGAGCCCCATCGGCCTCAGGGCCTTATGGGTTGAGATCGATGACATCTGTATTAGCCCTCGCACACGAAGCTCCATGTTTCGGGTTCTGAGAACTTCGAGAACACCTTCTGGTGTGGTCGGGTGCGGAACTCCAAATCGTCTCTTGCGCTGCGCGCTGCAGGAGCGATGTAGTCAGGTCTCCCAAAAAGTGGCGCTCGCGACTTTCTCTGCCCAGCTCAATGCAGCACGCATTGAGCTGGGCGTGCAAGGCCGCGATATGGCTGTGGCCCCCACCATACTGCCTCGCAAAAAGGCTGTTTTTCGTTCCGGTTATTGTATGTTATTGTTTCGCTGCGGGTTAAGGGAAGCCAAGGCCTGACTTAGATCCTGCATGACAACTCAGTTGACCGGTCTTGGCAAGCCCATGGTTCGACCGCTCGGATGCTGGTGAAGTCGACAGTTCAATGCAATAGCTTGACTTGAGTTTCTAAAGTTTTCGGGATATTCAGAGACCTCTCCTTCTTCCCGGTGGAGTGTGTACGGGGTTCGCGGCTCCAGGTTGCGAAGAAGGGCCGTGGCCCTGGCGCCTACATCTTGGACATCGGAAGTATAGGAGCGGCTCATCACTTCCGCAATCTGCAGCCTGAGCCTCCTTGGCTTTCCAGGACGAGCTGGGAATGTCAGCGGAACGGCCGGGCTGGAGAAAACCTACAACGAGGCGCCGCCTTCAGGTGCTCCTCAGCGCCTCCCTGTCAGACCAAAGATCTCCTCAGAACGTGCTAGCATCTCGGGCACCCAGGCGAAGCAAACTCTCTCTCTCTCTCTCTCT